ATATATAATATTATAATACATGTATGAAAATAGTTTGTTTAAATCTCATTGCAGGCGTCCTGTCGATGTTGGGTAAGTCAAAAGCTCCTCCGTTTCCGCCTGTGAACCTTTTAGCCGATTTTGCTGGAGGAGGTCTCCTAACAGCGATGGGTGTCTGTGCTGCCTTGTTTGAAAGGTCCAAATCCGGAAAAGGACAAGTAGTAGACACCTCAATGGTTAGTAGGCAGAGTAATCACATGCGCAACGATTTAGTCAGCTTATTTCAATAGAAACAACACTAAAAAAATCCGAACCCCATACAAATAGGTATTTCGTACGCGCAAACGTGCTAATGTATGTAGCACCAATACGAATGAATAACAATTAAAAAAATATATACGTAAATCTATATATACATTTGCACGATTAGAACAACTGAAGTTTGCCTCAAGCAATCTTTGAGAGGGGTTTGCTTCTAGTCCAGGTAACTGAGCTATCTATGTATAAGGGAGTCGCTGCGCTGGCTGATTGGCTCCTTGTGCAACAAGAACCGTGATAAGCAATCTTAAAAACAAAACAGGGTACGTTTTCATTTCATTGAAGACGGAAGGTACTGCTTACATATCAGCTTTTCTGTGGAGAACTCGTTGCTCTGAAGGGGGTGTCCCGATATGGTTTACTGAGCGGGGCAGCAATCTTCTCGATGGGGGCGTCCACTTTTATCAGGTGAGGATTGTCAGATTTTAGTCTTCGGATTTTTAGGCAGTAGTCTATCTAATCTATACCTAATTACTGGGTATGATAATCTGACTATAAGTTTGAAAGCACGTAATGCAAGGTATAGGAAATTTTAGAAAATATGAAAATCGCGATTATTTTGTTGTCATAAATCTTGCAGACATACGAAACATCAGACGGCAAATACATGGCTGTGGGCGCATTGGAACCACAGTTCTACGCCGAGTTCGTAAAAGGGCTGGGCAAAAATCCTGATGAGTTTCCGCAGATGCAAAATATGGATGAAGCGAAAGAAGAGGTATCCAAAATATTCAAGGCTAAGACGCAAGCGGAATGGACTGCCATATTTAAAGATACAGATGCGTGCGTTACTCCGGTGATTGATTTTGAAGAAGTGGCCGAAAACGAACTCCATAAAGGTTAGTATCTAGGCTTCAGCAAAAATGTAAACACTCTTTCTTCCGACATCAAGCGGGAAAATATTACGTACAGTTACAATATAGGATCTTATTCTCTTCTCCTCCAATATTTGTCTGTATTTAAGCAGCTCACACATGTAAGAATACTAGGCATAAACTAGGCTTCTGCAGTACAGAGGATTATTCTCAACTTAGAATTCAGCTCTGCAATATTCGCCCTTGGATACGTGCAAGGAATAGTCCGTTTTTGCGCCTCCTTTTATTTATGTTATGGGAAAACGGCGCTGGATTGGCGGCAAAGAGATAAAATACATAATGCAATTGCACATAGACATGATACATACGTTGTATCTTGTCTCGAGAATACTCGTGTAATCAGTGATAATGCTACTGTTAACCTCTTGCAGCCCGCGGCACCTTCGTCAAGTACGGCGGTGCCCTAGCTCCGATGCCATCTCCACGTTTGTCTCGCACGCCTGCACAACTATCGAAACTTTGCGACCCAAAGATTGGAGAGCATACACTGGAGATTCTTGAAGAACTAGGCATCAGTCAAGCAGAAACAGACAGCCTGATCAAAGATAATGTTGTTAATCTTACAAAGGCTAAAATATAGCCTAAAATACAAGGAAAGAGAAGCAGAGTTCTACAATGTTTTCGAGTTCATCGAATCAATGCCGCAAAAATTATTAATATCCTTTTCAATAATTCTTTCAATAGAATTTGATTTTAGAATAATCAAGCTAAATTTCAAATCACATCTTCACTAAAAGAGAATTTATTTCAGCTAGGCTTGCATATATGCATTACGTGCATACTTACGGCACCATAAAGCATACAAATATAAAGTATGATTATACTTAGTAGCAGTGTTTACTTAATGTTTAGGAAAACATTTGTGTGTTTAGAGTGCCAACGCTCAAACATGTGATGTATGTCCTTGAACCTACCTATGCTTTCCTGTGCTTTATAGAATCGTCGTACACTTTCTTGGCTACTGATAAGGAAAACGAGTAATTAAATAAAAACATTTGGTACAAAGACAAGTGTATTTTTGTACAAAGCTTTCTTAAAGAAAAGTACTGAACTGTATATAGCCGTATTAAGTGTCTTCACTATAGTAAATTGATTTCACACATTATATTAATACCTTTTATTTTTTTTGTCATAGACTTTTGTAGATTTCGACCTGGACACCTCTCTCTTGGAAAGATGCCCGTAGAAACTCGATGAAAGATGCAATCATTTACTGCCCACATCTTGTTTGAGACATTTCTCGAATGTCTAATTATATCATCTGGTTTGGCAGCCCCAAATTCAAGACTGAATTAGACTGGTAGGATGCCGCAATTTTCAATGAATACAAAATAGTTATTAGAAACCCATTATTATAGTCATTAAGGTTACGCGAGGGTAGCAAACCCTTAGAACAGTGATACTCAAGTCACGTTAATGAATTTTATATATATATACATATCTTATCTGGTGTCAGTTCAGCTATTGGACACTTTTTTTTATCGGTAGATACTATTGAATGGGTAAGTGCACCAAGAACAACTGCCGCATAATTGTATCACTGTCTTGAAAATCACATGTATCTAAAATCACCGTAACTAAGTTAGGCCTAAATTAGTTCTTATGATAAAGAAAAAGCTTTCTAGCTGTGTATTCTTAACACATCTATCTACATTTTGCAATTACCCTTATTTTATGCGGCAAATGCATTTACTGTTGCTAAATTTCAATATCTCCTCAATCAGTAAGTATTCCTACTTATCACATTTAAACAACACTTGGATCATATTTTTATTATGACAAATCTACAGGAAATCGTAATGGAAAAATAACTCTCCACCAAAGACTTACGTTTCCAACAATGTTAAATAAACACAATAGTTAAACGCTATGAAGTTTCTATTTATTTTTTAGTAATTTCGCTTTGTTAATGAGTGTACGTTATTGTTTATTTAAAAAATAAATACGGGTCTATATTATATAAATCTATAGATTTTTTATAGCGTTTTTAAGGAAAAGTTCATGATTCGTCAAACTTTAGTCAACTAGAATGACACTGATAGCTGACCACGAAAATTAACCCTTTAGAGCAGCGACTTTGGCGATATACTGCTTGCGAGCGTCCTCTTGGCTAAGACCTGGTAAAGTCGCAAAAAAAAATTAATAAAACCTGTTTAGTAGATATCGCATAGAAATTTCACAAGCATACTCTACGGAAGCCTAATAACTACGCATAGGAAAAAATGAACACTTTCTTCGGAAAATAACGAGGTATGAGGGCGAATAGTTAATAGTATTTTCTATGCCGATAGCAAGGCCATTTAAAATATTACCAAGTCGAAAAATTTGTCTCATCCGTCCTTATCCACTAAAAAATGTAAGATCCTATTAAAACAATTGAATTTCTACAGTTAATGACAATTGCTTTCAAACAACACAAACAAACAAAAAACAAAAGAACAATTTCAAAAAATACTAGGTTGGAAAGCAAGTTTTTAAAAACGTTTCCTTCTTTCCGACTTCCCTCACTTGTTGTTACTTTCAATATGCAATCGAAAGTGTTCTCTGTATAGCGATGTTGTGCTATGAAATAAATTTCAACTCGTAAAAATTGAACATAGATACCTCAGATGGAAAATAATGTATTTTTGACCTCTTCTGTTCTATGCACCTCGACAAGACCAGAAAGATACCGAAACAGTTCAGAGCATTTGCCTTGTGATACTGTCCTTAAAAAGGGCTGCTTGAGCGAGGTTTGCCTGGTTTAAAAAGCGTATCTGAGACCTACAAAACGATTCTGGTTGGCCGATAGTTTGCGTTTGATGACGACTATCTGAACGCACTAATTAAGTAAAATGACAACAAACTATTCGAAGATTAGCCGAGAAGATGTGCTGCAGCCATGCGACCGTCATTAGTTACCTCAAGTCTTCTAGGCTTCTACAGAAACCTAGGGCATAGGTACCTCATGCACGCTCTGAATCCAACAAAGAGTTTCAGCTTAACGTTGCATCTCAACATCTTACCCGGTATCGACCATCACGCAGCCACAATAACCTATGTTCTCACAGAGTTATCAACGGTAATAAGAAGCAGTGTTTGTAGGTCAACATGAATCAGAAATCGGAATAGGTGGCTCCAGAAAAGCATCCAGGGCGAAGAATCCAACAGGGCCTTGGTTTGAAGAAAAGTAAGTTTGGTAGGATTGTAGAAGTTTGACTCACTGCAAATTGCTTCCTATAAATCACACAATTGACAATACAGTTATATCAAGTGTATTCAACCTTTCAAAAGAAGGGACCCAACATACCAGATCAGGACACCGCGCTCCATGACAAAACAGGCCGTACAAAACTGGCTGAACGAATTTTAAAATTTAAAACTGGCGGAAAGATTGGTTGACAGATGAAAAAAGATCGTAGGCAGTATCGGATAATACACCGCATAATAACTTAATCCCACAGGAATTAAAAAAAAATTGCGTTTCCTATTTAGTAAGAAAACTCGGAAACTTCCTTTCGGACGTTTGTCGCACACTTTGTGCAGTATCGCTGGATTCGCCTCGACGTAATCCAAATACATTCACATCACTCGCCACTAATTATATACGACGTAGTAATTCAACAGACCTTTCTTCGAGTTCCACGTCTGCCACTTCGCCTTGCCTTTAAGGTCGAATACACCCGGACATGCCATATTGCAATCGCCAATTGTAGCCTGTTTGAACAGCGCGTACAGCTCGAGCAAATCGTTAGTGGATGGCTTTGCAGGTAGTTGCTTAACCTCCTCGGCAGCCTGTCAAAAAAATGAACGTATTGAAATAAAGCATGCTTTAGTCTATGATATATTAAATCAATAAATGCACATCAGCGACTATTGTGAGCCGTACTTCTGCTATCTCGTGTGCTTGCTTATCAATTATGGGTTGGGTAATGCTTTTTATATGAAGAGTTAAGGTGCTATACTGAGGGCAATGCAGGTTCAACAACATCTCGTTAATGTTGCCTACAAGCGGGCCATGTTAGTACTCCGTGATACTAATCAAAACTTACGCAGAGAAATATATGCCTAAGTCTGCCATAGTATTCAAATAATCAGTGTCTTCTCTTTTAAGCATAACTACAGATAGAAATTTTATATATATATATATATATAAACGACTGTTTGCGACTGGCTGATTTGCAGTACGATACAAATGCGCAATGTTGCTAGCGTTACTACGAATGGTTGATGGTTTCGGTTGTGTCGGGCTATCGATGCTGCTGCACTTCTGTACACGCCAAGTGACTATTAGTGTATTACTCTATTTGCGGTTTTTGCTGAAAGAGGTACATAAACTCATCTATGAGTTTTCGATTAATTCAAGCCTAGGTTGATTCTATAAATAGCCATATTCATTACTTATCATTTAGAGATCGAGGAGTCCAGAGTGAAAAAAACATCCTGCCTTTAAAAACTATTATGCAAGGAAAATTTCAAATTATAATA